GGGGGGGGGGGGGGTGTCCAAAAATCGTTCTGTAGAAAAATTTTCAGATATTTAAAGGGAAAACAAGAATTTAAAGTTTTCTCTTCGTTGCAGTATCTCTGGATTTTCAATCAATTTAAAAGCTTAAACTACAATTTTCTAAATTAAGAAAATACTTTAAAAATTGGAAAGATTACAAGTAATCTCAATTCAATGATTGTTCATCACCGCTGAGGTCTTTTGAGTTTAAAATATTATCTTTGAAATGAATTCATAAAATTTACAAGTGCCAAGACGATTTTGACAGATGGTTAAAATTAAATTTTTTAAAAAAGATTTTGTACTTTTTGTAAATTTGATTTGATAGAAAATAAACTTTTTAAAATTGCACATTTCAGCGAAATTTATAAAAGTTTCTTAAATTCAATATTTTGCTTTGTCAATTGTGTTTTAGCTATATATTAACTATATATGAATGCGTCGAAAAATAACCGATTACTATTGTTTGTAATATCTGAATGATTTGTTTGGAATTAAATTGATTTGTTTACGATCCGAGTTGAATGTTGCATCTTTCCGAATTTGTATGGGCGCTGCGTTCTTCCGTGTGAGTCGTTTCTAACAATTTTCTCCTCATAGAAGCAACAGATAGAAGTAAGATTAGTAGCGATCAAAAGCGCTTTTTTATCGCATTAAGCCTATACCCTCTTTCATTTTTCGCGAACACTCCCTTTAATATTTGAAATATTGCGAAATGTGTTAATCTAGTCAAAATAAATTGTTTAACATTTAACCTTATTCAGCTCTGGAAATTTTTGTTTTATGAAAGTGAATCTCAACTTGATGTAGATTTGATAAGCTAGACATTTGCAATTAGAACTTGACATATTGGAGAAAGGCATCATAGAACGTAGAACACTGAACATGAAATGTGATTTACCATCACAAACTAATATTCATGTCCAGTCAAAAATGAAAAAAAAACTTTTTGTGTCTTAAAGAGTGGTTTAAAACGTTGAATATTATATATATATATATATATAAATTTACAGACCAATATTGCTATCAAGTAGTAAGAGCAAATTATACCTGTTAAACAATGTCCACTATTGTGGAAAACTTTAGTACTTTTAAAATTCCAAATTGCTTACTTACATATGCTCTTAAACAATATTGAGTTTTCAGCTTTTAATTTGTCTGACACCGAATTTAAAGAATTTGTGCCGTGGCTCTAATATCGTTAAAATTGTATTAAATTTTTCACGATTTATAAGCCGGTTCTCAATTGAAACCGGTTTTTGGGGGATTTGAGACGCGACTTAAATTCATTAAATTCCAACACTTATTCGACTGATATTATTTTAGATCTGGAATGCTGTTTTCACCTGACTCTTGTCGTCTTGCAATCCTTGAGAGTATATCTATGGCGTGGACCGCGGACAAGTACAGACATGTAGAAACAGCAAGGAACAAACCTTCCTCCATTTAATCTAAGCAGAGTCATATACTGACATGTAGAGACAGCAAGGAACAATCTTTCATCCATTAAATCTAAGCAGAGTCATATACAGACATGTAGAGACAGCAAGAAACAAACTTTCATCCATTTAATCTAAGCAGAGTCATATAAAGACATTTGGAGACAGCGAGGAACAAACCTTCATCCATTAAATCTAAGCAGAGTCATATACAGACATTTGGAGACAGCAAGGAACAAACCTTCATCCATTAAATCTAAGCAGAGTCATATACAGACATTTGAAGACAGCGAGGAACAATCCTTCATCCATTAAATCTAAGCAAAGTCATATACAGACATTTGGAGACAGCAAGGAACAAACCTTCATCAATTAAATCTAAGCAAAGTCATATACAGACATTTGGAGAAAGCAAGGGACAAACCTTCATCCATTTAATCAAATTCATACACAGACGTTTGGAGACAGCAAGGGAAAAACCAACCACCATTTACTTTAAGCAGTACTGTACAGACATGCGGGGATAACATGAAACAAAACTTCAGCCATTCAATCCCTTAATCCCAGCAGCCTACCAAAGAGTTTGATGAAATGTTAGAGTCATGTTTTATGAATAGAACTATAAATACCAATACCTGGGCACCCTATTTAATCCATGTTTTTGACAGATGAAAGCCATTGATTTTTATTTAACAATTTGTAGCATTTTAACAAATACGATAAAAGCAAACTTGTATCAAAAAATTATAAAATTAAATTAGGATTCACAGATTTTACAAAAGCAACTTTAAGGCCAGAAACCTTTGAATTTTAAAAATAGTCTTGTCTGCTTGTCTAACAGTAACATAAATTGTTATTGATTACACAACGAGATGAATGTTTTTTAATTATTATTTAATTAGATTTTGTTGCGCAGAATTGTGCAGAATCACGCGGAATTACAAGGCTCCAAGAAGTATGAAATAGAATTGGGAGATACAACTGACGCGGCCCGCCCTACCATATGATAATACATGCTTTGCAGCCAATTGAGTAAGAAATATTCAGAATAGGTTATAGTATACGCGGTAATTGTACATCAGACAAATTATTCAAATGTGCAAAGCATGTATAATCATATGATAGGGCGGGCCGAGTCAATTGTATCTCCCTTCTATTCCATACTCCTAACAGGGCTCCCGTTTGTGCGCAAGTAAATATTCATGTTGAAAAACCTTTCATCCAAACCAAAGTTATATTCTAACTTCCCCAAAAATTTGAAGGTCATTTTCTTCCCCCCTTTTCCTAAAGATATATATCTATTTATCTTGTATAATACTCTGACATTGTTTTTAACAATAACTTATATCTTCTAAAAAGAATATGTTATTTTTTCAAAGGGTAAATTAATATTTTTAACATTTTTGCTAATCAAACCAATTTTATCAATATTCGTAAAAATTACATTAGTTTCTACAAACTCAAAGATTTTCAATAAAATATGTTTGACCACATTTATCAATTTTTTAAATGCTCCAAAAAGGCAGACCACATTTTGGAAATGTCAGGACTAGGGCTATTTTGTGATAATCGTTTCATCAATCATGTTTGTAAAATTAGATTGTAAAGTCGTCTGATTAATTATAAATTAACTCCAGGTCTTTCTGATTAGCACTGTACAAAGCTTTTATTTAAGGGTACCCTCTGTGAATCGGACTTCCCACGGAAAAAAGCATCTATTTTTTTGAAATTTCGACTTCTGTTAGAAAACTAAGACGCCAGGTTTTCATGAATAAAAGCTTTCTATAAATAACCTAGCTAAAGTGCCAGGCGTTCCCCGGAAAATTTTAAAAACACTGGAAGAAAAATTTCTGAATTTTGAAAAAACATTTAGAATTTTAAACAACCAAAAAATCTAATTTTTTAGCCTATATTTACCCTACCTAAAAAAATGTCAGCCAATTTGGTTAAGCCGTTTGGCCAGTTATAGCTAATATATTTACAAATATACAAAAATCTAAACATATGAGTGAAGAGCTTCAATATGTATGTCATTTACTTAAAAAATAATCCGCTTTAAAAATTATAAATGAAATTCTGCAAAATGGTTTTTTAAAAGTTTTTTTCTGTTCCACAAAATGTCCACATTGTGTTCTTTTTTATTAAGAGTTATATGCCTATGTTTATTATTAGTTTAGACTAGATATGATACGATACTATATATAGTCTGGCATCATTTATAAACTCAATCTTATAACTAAACCGCATAAGAAAGTAAGTCAGACGAATTTCCGTGTCACGCACGTCTGCCCCATTAGTAAAAGTAAATTCAACATATATGAAGCATAAAGTCTGACCGCGTAAACCTTGTTGCACCGACTAGAACTAGGTACAGTACAAACTAGGACCGGAAAGGTTGACCCGGCTCGGAATTTCAAATGAACTACTGCTACCCGTGGTGGCTAAATTGAAAATAAAATCTGAGACAAAAACTGGCATAAAAGTTGTTGGTCACTTTTGATCATTGATCTGATTGGAATCTAATTTTTAAAGAATATAGAAGTAAAGAAAGGTTGGTTTCTGATGTGACAATTTAGGACAAAAAATGTCAAACATTGTAAAAAATTGATCACCGCAGGAAGCAAAGATATGACATTTTCCCGTTTTTCTGGTTTCATAGAGTTCCAAATTCATTGACCTCTGATACTAAATTGTCTTCCGTTCGAAAAAAATTAAATCAAATTTGACTTTTTACCTCTTTCTTGCAAAAAATTCAAATGTTTTAGAAATTATAATAATTAGTTTAATTATATTTAAAATACGGCAGCACATTTTTTCAGAACACTCGATTTTGCAGTTTACAGAGAACACTCTTATCATTTAAAGGGAGTGTTTGCGAAAAATGAAAATTGTTAAAAACGACTCTATACATTTGGAGTAAGACTTTACAATATCTAAAAAGTCTGAATCTTTTATAAATTTATTCTTTTTCTTTCAACTGAAAGATTTAACTTTAAATCAAAAATTATTATACTAATATTACAAATATTATAATAATACATAATTAAAACATTAGAGTTCGAATTTAATGAATATGAGCTGCGTCTCATATGAGCCAAAAACCGGTTTTAATTGAGCGCCGGCTTAAATCTTGAAGCTTTGAATACAATTTTAATTGGAGCAAACCATGCTCAAATTCTTTAAATTTGGCCTCAGGGTTTGAAAATGTAAACTTTAAAAACAAAAACGTAGAAAGCCTTGGTATTTTTCAAGCTTTGTCAAACTCTCACGAAATAAAAAAAAACATTTCCAAAGTGGGGATATGTTTAAAGAAAATATACCCTTACATACATGATAATGTTTTAAGTACAGTACAGTACAGTACAGTGCATACATTGTAATACAAACGAATATTAAAAACAAGAATAAAATTATTATAACTTAAGATTTTAACATTGTTTTAAGAAAGTATATATCTAAGTATATATCTAATATTGGTATTTGTTTAGAACTAATTTACAAGTTTCTCAGAGAATTCCCATAATTTTCTACTCCAGTCTTCATTGTCTAGTTCAGAGTTCTTCCACCACCAGGGTGCAAGTCGGCAATCTTCAAAAATATAAAAACTTAATTTTCAAAACACGAAAAAAAGCTGTTTCTACTTTATTTAAACAATTTACTATTTTTGAATTTTTAATCTTATAAATTGGTTACAGTTGAAACAGAATAGTTCTGATTTAAATTTGAAATTTGTCGAAAATTTGTTGGTACACAAAATGAATAGAGGAACTCTAGAATATGAATGGAACTGCAGGATCATAAAATGAATAGAAGAACTCTAGAATATGAATGGAACTAGATCATAAAATGGATGGAAGAATTCTATAATATGAATGGAACTGCAGGATCATAAAATGAATAGAAGAACTCTAGAATATGAATGGAACTAGAACATAAAATGGATGGAAGAATTCTAGAATATGAATGGAACTGCAGGATCATAAAATGAATATAAGAACACTAGAATATGAATGACACTAGAATATAATGAATAGAAGAACTCTAGAATATGAATGGAATTAGATCATAAAATAAATATAAGAACTCTAGAATATGAATGGAACTAGAATATAATTAATAAAAGAACTCTAGAATATAAATGGAACTGCAGAATCATAAAATGAATAGAAGAACTCTAGAATATGCATGGAACTAGAATATAATGAATAGAAGAACTCTAGAATATGAATGGAACTAGAATAAAATGAATAGAAGAACTCTAGAATATGAATGGAACTTGAATATAATAAAAAGAAGAACTCTAGAACATGAATGGAACTGCAGGATCATAAAATAAATAGAAGAACTCTAGACTATGAATGGAACTTGAATATAATGAATAGAAGAACTCTAGAATATGAATGGAACTAGAATATAATGAATAAAAGAACTCTAGAATATGAATGGAACTAGAATATAATGAATAGAAGAACTCTAGAATATGAATGCAACTTGAATATAATGAATAGAAGAACTCTAGAATATGAATGCAACTAGAATATAATTAATAAAAGAACTCTAGAATATGAATGGAACTAGATCATAAAATAAATAGAAGAACTCTAGAATATGAATGGAACTAATGAATAAAAGAACTCTAGAATATGAATGGAACTAGATCATAAATGAATAGAAGAACTCTAGAATATGAATTGAACTAGATCATAAATGAATAGAAGAACTCTAGAATATGAATTGAACAGGATCATAAATGAATAGAAGATTTCTAGAATATGAATGGAACTGGATCATAAATGAAAAGAAGAACTCTAGAATATGAATGGAACTAGATCATAAAATGAATAAAAGAATTCTAGAATATGAATGGAACTGCAGGATCATAAAATGAATGGCTGAACCAAATAAAAGGATAAAAACTTCTTCAAACTTTGGGAAGAAATAAGAATGAAATGAAATTAGAAACTTTTTAAAATCCAGATTTAAGTGACATAGTCTGTAAAATAATACCTAATCTAGAAAACTGTAGAATGTGAATGTCGTCTTTGTTTTGATAAAGAAAAATCAAAATTGTGTAATCTTAGATACAGAGTGTCCCAAGAAACATGACAGTTGGTGAATAGTTTAAAATGTCTTCTTCCATAATTAGTTAAGTTGTTTGATACTGAAGAGAATGATTAAAAATATTATATGACAATCATATTTTAGATAAATTGATTTCAGAGTAAAATAAAAATTAGTAAAAATATGAGGAAACGATCGTTTTTAAGAACAATAGTTTTGAAAACGACCCTTCGTTAACGTTCGTTAACGACCTTTTAATGAGAAAATACATACTATCATTTTTTTGTCATAAAAAGTTCAAAACGAGTGGTTCGTTTTCAAACCGATCGTTTTATTCTATAAACGAAAACAAAATAAAACGAACGATCGTTTTTGATCGTTTTTTAAAAACTAATAACAACCGTAGATACAAATTATTAAACTTTTAGTTAAAATCATTGCCACAACTCGGATTTTTTAATCCCTATCTTTTTGTCGCATAGACCATCGATATTAAAACTATGAATTCTGTTAGATCAAAAGTTTAAAAATCAGGTTGCAAAGATATGGAAATTTGAATAAGTTCTTTTAAATCGTTCAAATAAAATATTTTCTCGGTGCTAAATATATACCTTGATAATATTCTCCGTTCACTAAACCATTTTCTACACAGCAATAGATAGAAGTTTGAGCACCCTAATAAGATTAGGATTAATGTGGTCGCAAAATAGTTTTTTCAAGTTGTGATTTCAGTTAACGATTTCACGGTAAAAGAGAGAAAGAAAGAAAAAACAGGAGACAAAGATAGATAGATAGACAGAAAGTTAGATATACACAAAGAAAGAAAGACAGATAAATAGATAGATAGATTTGCACAAATTAAAAGAAAAATTTGGAATTGAGTCGTTGTCACAAATTCTGATTTTCTAATCCCTCTAAATTTGAAACACAAAGTAGTACTCTAAGGCAGATCATGGACATTTTAAACTATGAATTATGTTAGATTAAGGAGTAAGATTGCAGTTATATGAGGGTTAAAAAAATTGAGTCTGTGTCAAAAACTCAAATCCTTTACACAAAGTTTAAACATAAACTAAAAGGCCTCAAACTAATTTTAAAGATTCCAAGATTATTTCTATTATGACAAAATATACCTGTTTAGCTGTTTTTCCATAGATATATGAAAACACCAGAAGCATTTTTCTTAAAAATTTTTAAAAAATTATTTTTTAAATCTTTAACATTCGCTAAAAAAAGTCTCAAGTTCTGAAAAAAATGGGAACGCATCCAGCCTAACTAAATATCTTTCCAAAATAATGTTACGATTTCAAGGACTAAGATAACGAAAACGATTTACTCGCCACAAAATCGAATTTTGAAATTAAAATTTCTTTGTCATTTTGTGGTGAAAACCTTGGACTTTTCAATACTCTTTGTCAATTTTATACAAAAAAATAAATCATATTTTGAAATTACAAATATTTACGAGATCAGATTTAAAAAATAAAAGAATTTGAAAATTAGAATTTCAGACAAGTAACAAGTTGAAGTTGATGTGGAAGTATAGATTTAGAGTTTTTGATTTTTAGACGATTTCATTATTTTTGAATAATTAAGCAATTCAGCGATTGATATACAGGGTAACCCAGAAAGGATGAGACGATTGTGAGATAATTTATAAACCCTAAATGAACTAGGTTTAAAGTAAATCTTTATCTAAAGAGATTCTAATCGACATTAAAGTCTGATTTAAAACATTATAGAAACCGAACGTTACAGAAACCGCTTGGTACAGGGTGTCCCAAAAAAACAAGGGTATTCAGTGGTAAATTGGATATCGTCTCTGTTATGAATTATCATTGTAATACCAAATTTCAAAAGCCATAATATTATTATGTCTGCTAGAGTTTACTTTATGAAAAGGGTAAAAGACTGCAAAGATGTGTCTATAATGTCTTCAAAAGATGAACAGTGCAGACGGACAAGTTTACTCTGTTTGTATACTTTGATTTTCTTGTTTTAAGTACAACCGTATGCAGTCAAAACATAAACAAACAAAATGTGAACATAGCAGACGATTACAGCATTCTCAGAAGGTATCACTATACTAAATCAAATAATTATTTAAAAAGACGATATCGAATTCGTCACTGAATTCCATGTTTATTGGGATCAACAAGGCGTATTTTGCAAGAGAATATCTTTTTATATTTTAGAAAAATTAAACTTTTTTTGTAAAACATTGTAGCTTATCATTATCATTTTCATTATTTTTATTTTTTAACATACCCTAGACTATGCTACTAACAATTTTACTGTGTATATTTGTACTGCTCTTATAGTGTTTAAGGTCCCCCAGATTTTATTATGTATCGACATCATAAATGAATGCTTACATCAAATTGCGTGTTACTATTTAAAAAAACTATTTTATGAAAATGATAAGTACAGTTATATTTTTAAAAAAAGAATTTCCAAAATATAAAAAATATTCTCCCGCAAAATACGCCTTGTTGCTATACCTAGCCACGGGGCGCCATTTTGTATTTCCGAGCCTAGCCAACCTTTCCGGTCCAAGTTTGTACTGTACCGCACGGACATTGGCTTAATTAAGCAGACAATCAACAGGGCTAGCCGGTGCAAAAAGGTTGACGCGGTCAGACTTCATATATGTTGAATTTACTTTTTTGAAAAGCCCTTGACTATGCCATTTCAAATATGCCAAAAAAATTTGCAAAATTTAAATAACCAGAAATCAGAAATAATCAAGAAAAAATAAAAAATTTGCAAATTTCCTTTGACAGTTTGTCTGCAAAAAATGTGCATTTTTTTCGCAAAACTTGTACAATTCGTTTCATTATGTCAAAGGCCTTCCAAAAAGCTAAAGGGGATGGTGGAGTTGGCACATTTGATGTAGGGGGGGGGGGCCCTGCCTTCGTTTTTGGTTCAAATCTTCCAATTTTTTGGGTGCGCGCCTAATTAGGGTTCGAAATTCCTATAATAAAATAAAATTGAACTTTAATGACCTCTAATGACCTCTAATGACCTCTAATGACCTCTAATGACCTCCACCAATAGAAAATATTTCAACTATTGCTTAATGCATATCAAACGAAAGCTGGGAACCCAGGGAATCCAGTAGCAGCAACAAATCCAGTGTTTGACCTTCTAATGACCTCTTACGACCTCTAATGACCTAAATGACCTCCAAAAATGAAAATGTTTTAACTATGGCTT